ATGTGACCTGGTATGCAGAGTACTGTAGCTAAATGAATAAAACATGATATTTTGGTGGAAATAAAACTTCCGTCCCTTATGTGTTTCTTATTTGTTATGAATATGAGAACCTTTTTGAGGCAAGTATTATTTCTTTCAATGGTTGCTCTGAAATACCTTGCCTGCTACTAGTAATAAAGAAATGGAAATCACAAGCAGGCACTTAACTTATTGTCAAGGATCAAACTTTATAATAGCCCTAAATTTCTATCATAATATAAAAATCAAACGCTTTGCGCTTGATTATTGTTTACACTGAGGCCCCTTTACAGCAGTCTGGGAGTGTAAAGGGATTTTAAAGTGGGTGTAAATGTACACTGCCAGAGTGGTAAAACATGGCCTTATTGTGAATCAGGCTCTTTGGGTTTGTGATATTCATTTGACAGCTTTAAGCATCTGCATTCAGATTGGTCTGGTAAAGGTCAAGTGTCTGATGTCTCTAAGCCAAACAAAATTCTGTTCTTGTGTTCAAGTGTATATATAGGAGCTAACTACGCTTTTTTTTTATTTTGACTTCTATATTGTGTTTGCCAGCTGCTTTGCTTCCATATTAGCATTGTCAGGTTAAAGTGTTTATTCCAAGTCTGCTGACAAACAAACCTTTAGGGATTCAGATACAGAGTCTTTATCTAACTACTCTATCTAAATACTAGTGTTAGTATTTTCTGCCCAAAGGAAAAGCCAATATCACACCAAGAGAGGGACAAGTTGACCACAAGACCCTGAGGAACCAGTGAAAACTTCTGAAGAACCAAAGTCCCCAGCACACAAATCCTGAAGGTCCAGCTTAGAGTCAGGACCAGACGAGAGGGTAGTCTGATGCACTATAGCCCGTGTAACAGAGGAGACTAGCAGCCAAAATCTGATAGAAAAAATATCCTGGACAATCCTGAAAAAATCTCTAGTTTAATACGCCGCAACAGAGAATGTACTAATCCTTAGCTAAACTTAATAGTGGCCATTGATTGTTCACAGAGAAAGCCCTTAGAATACACACAACACTTTTATGAAGTTTCACTATCCTGATCAAAAAAATATAGTTCACTGAAGTATGGCATTTACTGAATAAAGTAGATTTATGAGAAAAGTCTATTAGCTTACAAAGCAGTTTGAAATGAAAATGTCGGCAGAAGCTGGAACAGACCATATGAACAGAAGTGTAGCATCATGCATCAAATGTTAGAGTGGCACAGCAGGGACCTGAATTCTAGTTTCTGGCCTGCTGGGTTCCCTTGGGCAGTATCCCCTCTGTAAAATGGGGATGCTGATACTGTACTGAGCTCCTTTGTAAAGCACTTTGAAATCTACTGATGAAAAGAGTTAGGTGTTAGATATTATAGATGATATTTGGTTAATGTTCATTAAAAATCGCAGACGTTTAACAACTGGGTATGTAATGTATCTTTATTAAAAGGAAGGTATCCACTCTGGAGGGTGAGAAAGATATTGAAATAAAAAGGCATGTCCTTCATAGGTCAATAATGTAAAAAGTTGGTATGTTATCTTACACCAGTATATTGTCTTTGATACACCCACTGCCATCAATGGAAATTCCACTGTGGATCATAGACCATAATATGGTTTGCAGTGTGATAATTAATAGTGCTGGTAATTATCAGTAAAGGTTACCTGGTACCCAATAAATGTTATCTAGTGAAAGAAATATATTATTTTGTTACAATAGGTAATCAGTAGATAAAATAACACCCACACATGAACTAAGCCTGGTGAATACGGAAATAGAACCTAAACAAAATCTATCATCATCATCATTTATTTCTATTGTGTGAGTGAGTAAGGACCTAAACAGGGATTAGGACCCATTGCACTAGGCACTTTGCAAACACAATTACACAGAAGCAGTCCCTGCCCCAGAGAGTTTATAATCTAAAATTTAGACAATATGTGGCAGGTGAATAAGAAATCAAATAGGAGAGGAAGTAGGAGAGAAAGAAATGGGAGGACAAGATTGTAGCAGACACAGGTGTATAACTCAGTTGTAACAGTGTTTTCAGTAGTCCCTGGTACTTGCCAACCTAGCCTTATATTTCACATACCATCATAATTACCATATGACATACAGGCACTATATAGAAAAGAACAAACAACCAGCAACAACAGGACTGAAAAGCTAAAGACTGAAGAGCAGCTTTAGCCATCTTTTGAAGAAAACATGAATGCAGTTACAACTGAATCAAACAGAACAAAGCGCAAATAATTATGAAAAGTATAAATATTTAAATATAAATATTTCTCTTCACCAACAAGCTATTTCACATCCTACCAAAACAGTAGCATTTCATGGAATATGGAATCAATCCCAAAACTGTTATGAACACAAATTTAGTTTCAAGTTCTTGTTCTCATGTTTTCAGGAACTGTCTAGTACATTTCTCCTTATGCTGTTGAGCACTTCTCTTTCACCTCTCCTATTTCTCTTAGGGTACGTCTACACTTACCTCCGGGTCCAGCGGCAGGCAATCGATGTTCTGGGATCGATTTATCGGTCTGGTTTAGACGCGATAAATCGATCCCAGATCGATCCCGGAAGTGCTCACCGTCGACGCCGGTACTCCAGCTCGGCAAGAGGAGTACACGGCATCGACGGGGGAGCCTCCCTGCCGCGTCTGAACCAGCGGTAAGTTCGGACTAAGGTACTTCGAATTCAGCTACGTTATTAACGTAGCTGAATTTGCGTACCTTAGTCCGAAGTGGGGGGTTAGTGGGGACCAGGCCAAACACTACTCAGCAGACTGATACAAAGAGGCACTCTCCCTTTCATAGAAGACTACCAGAAGGAGATAACATAGGCACATAACCTGTTATCAAAGGCTGCATATTTGTAGGCTTCCATTTGGGCCCCAAAAATGAACTGATGGCATCTGGCCAAGCAGCATTAGAAACTAAATGGTAGATATGGTAAGGTGATTTATCAGAGCAGGGGCTGAAAAGGGGAAGCTATTATATGCATCACTGTTGGTACCACTCTGATAATTATTGCAAAGTAGTCTCAAAGGAACAATAATTTGTAAATACGTATAGCTTTGTTTTTGTTATTATTTATTATGTGTCTGTTATACTGAAAACCAGAGCTCTGTGAAACCAGCTCTTTGAGGTTTGCATGATATAAGGAAACACCAATGGGTGGATCCAGTCATCAAGCTTCACACTTCCTGAAGTGCATTTTGTGTTTCAGGTTTGCAGAGACCCAGTGCTTAATTTGTAATGGAAGAGTTGCTGGAGCTCAAGCAAATTTTACATTCATAACTGATGCAGCAAACCCAGAGGTGTTGGGGCTATGAACGGTCAAGCCTAGAGGTGCCGGGGCTCAGCCCTGACAAGCCCTGGCACAAATTAAGCAGTGCATAGACCCCAAACCAACCTCACACCAAACCCTCTAAGTTTTGCATGGTTTACACTGAAACTGGTGAATTACAGCACCCTCCTCCTATGACCATAATTCCCCCTACTCCTTACATTGTGCTATTTTCTGAAGGAAAGGTGGTGCTCCATGGCCAGCAGCCTCTCCCCTTTAGGTGGTGGCTATCTGCAGTTTTGGAATGTGCATAGCTGGCCCTACCCCTTGTTGTAGGGATTCCCCATTTCATATGGTGTTTTCTGATGAAAATATACTCCAGAGTGAGGTAAAGTGTCTTCAGTGTGACAGCAGTGGATCTGGGGAACAGTGGATCCAATGGTGAATGAACGGACAGGACTGGCTGCCAATTCACCTGCATTTTGTGGATTAGATTCCCACTCAAAAAAACCCCCCAAAAAACAAAAAACGTGGTAGATGGGGATAGGGCCGGCTCCAGCTTTTTTGCTGCCCCAAGTGGCGAAGCCAAAAAAAAAAGATAAAACAGCAATTGGCAGCACTTCGGCGGCAGCTCTACTGCGCCGCTTCATTCTTGAGTCCCAGAGGGACTGAGGGACCCGCCGCCGAATTGCCACTGAAGACCCGGACGTGCCGCCCCTTTCCATTGGCTGCCCCAGTCACCTACTTCCTTTGCTGGTGCCTGGAGCCGGCCCTGGATGGGGAACAGGTCAGCCAACCAGCTATTTTCTGAACATCTGATGGAGTGTGGAAAAGTGTGGTGGCCTTTTGCTCACCAGCAGAGACCACCAGGTAGGGATGGGCTTGGAACTGCCTGGATTAAGCAGGGTGCATGAAGGATATGAAGGGATTTGGTATCTATTGGGAGGGTGGATATAATTAGAACAGCATTCTCAGTCAGCTCAAGTTTTCTTTGATGTTTCCTAAAGCCTGAACAGTGGTTTGGATTCATACTAAAACCCAGGATCTGGTAAAATTGCTCGCTTTCAGGTTTTGATGTGAAATGTTCCCACAGCCCAAATGAACACTATGTACAACAGCTACTACAGTAGAAACATATATTTTCATTTTATGGCACCTTAATGCATGAATCTGGGCTATTTATTGTTCTTGTTGTTGTTGTTGAAGTGTAATCCAAATTAACAATATAAACATATAGCCATAACTTCATTCCAGCCTCTCCCTTTTTTATGTTCAGAAATTAACATTTTTTCAGTCTGGCAGCATAGTAGCCCTGTACTTCACTTTCATGTGGGAGACCTGAAGTCAGGAGTGATTGTTGGACAAATCTGCCCTTTGACTTCAAGGAAGTTGCACCCATTTACATCAAGGACATGAGTGGTGTACATCCAATCATTTTGTGAAATAGCCTACTTATGAAAAAGAAACGTCCATTACCCCTAACTGGCTATAGAGAAGATTCTAAAATACAGTTTAAAGGAACAGAGGAACACAGGGGGAAATCTGTGCTAAAATACAAGATATTGTTTTAGCTCCCTTGCTTAAGAGAAAAATGGGAATTTTCTTGTTGCTGCCAATTATAAAAAATAATATATGTTTTTTAAACAAAAGCTCAAATGCTCTAACTTCTCATTAATGACAACTATGTAATCAACCTGCTACTTACAGTTAGATGAAGTTGATTTGTCCAGTGACCAATTACTTTGTATTCTGCACTTTTGTTGGTCATTTGATACTGAAATATATCATAGCGCCCAGGCGCATCTCCATTTTCATTGAAAATAACAGGCGTTCCAGCACTCCCTACAAAAATGTTGAACAACAATTGAAATAAAGTTCCCCCAAAAACATTCTCATAAATCTATTTTAGCTTCTATTTTTTTCTTTAACATGTTCTGGAAAAAAAGAGACAATATGATATGATCACAGCAAGCAAGTTTTCATGCAATGTTGCCAGCATTATAATAAACCTAAAAAGCTTGTAAAGAAAAGGCCATTGTGCGATGTTATTACTTGCATCACAATATAAACTGTCCGTCAGTGCCAGCTAACCTATGTAAAATTAATCAAACAAAATTACAAAGATAATTGTTCAGTTAAATGTTTAACACTGATTAACATTAGATGACTATTATAAGAAGCAGGGATAAAATCCTGGGCCTGTTGAATTCAATGGCAAAACTCACACTGACTTCAATGGCGGTCAAAACTTCACCTCAGGACTAGAGTACAGTGTAAGAAAAGTGCAGGCAAGAGTCAGGCTTGTCTGGTCAGCGGAGAGTTCCCCAGACATAGGGGAGTTCCCAGCTAAAGCTTGCATAGCCTGGTCTTGCACCACACACCCCAAGACCCAGCATATGGGGCATGCAAACAGCAGCAAAGGATTTTGCTGGAGTGCTACTGGACTCTTGCTGGTCTCCGCTAGTGAACAGTCACTTTGGGACAATTGCCAACTGGCATACTTAAAGAACCTTAATTAAGTCAATAGAGCTAAACCAGCATAGAACGGGTGTAACTCAGTGATGAATTAAGCCCAGAGTTTCTCAGCGATTACAATTGTCAGGAGTGGTGTACTGAAGGTGTGGCGAATTCCAGCTCCCTCCACCCTGAAAATTAGAAAATGAGAGACAGGGCTGGCTCTGGCTTTTTTGCTGTCCCAACCTGCGGGGTGGCCAGAGCCAGGGTGCAGGGGGACTCCCTGCGCTGCAGACGTGCCCCGGCTAGCGGGGGGCAGGGGGAGGGAGCGGGGGAGAGAGAGAAGGGGAGCGGCCAGGGCTTCAGCGGGGCGATCACCATGCAGTCCTGACCGCTGTGCCATCTGCCGGGAGGGCTCCGTGCCACGCCAGTCGGCAGGGAGGGAAGGATGTGGGCTGCCCTGCTGGACTTGCTACAGATCTGGCACTGGCTGGGGCAGACGGGGCGCACAGCCTGTTCCCAGCAGGGCGCTCCCCTCCTCCACACCACCGCCCCCTACAGGGCGGCCAGATCGGCAAAAAACAAACAAAAAAAGCAGCCGTGCCACTTTAGGATTGGGCGGAATGCCGCCCCGTAGAATCTGCCGCCGCAAGCACGAGCTTGCTCGGCTGGTGCCTGGAGCCAGCCCCGATGAGAGAACGGTCAAAGTGTTGGGGGAAGAAAGCAATGTGAGATTACACTTGCAGAAGTGGGGAGCTACTTGCTATGGTATAATGTTAAAAGACTTTGGGGGCCTGTATCAAATCATGTCTTAGCTAGAATATCTTCAGCAAAGGATGAGGTTGGAGGTCCACATCTGGGAGTTGCCTTCTGGTGGACCTACCTGTATGAAATTACTTGGGTTTTGTGAACATTTTGCAATATTGCAAAGCTCATACCAAAAATCTCTAGACATTCTGTTCAAACTATAAACAATTGTTATAAGTTCAAAGTCATTTTGTGATCATTTGTCAGCAACCATTTAACACTGTATTTTAAAAGTAAGTAAGTGGGGGCTTTTCATGTTTTATCCACTTACAGTGTAGTTATGCTGCAATGTATTATTTTAACCTATGATTGACTCAGGTACTTATATGCAACATGTCACCATCATAACTATACTGAATGCTTCATAACAGAAGGTATATGGTAGAAATCTTAGGAATGTGAGAACTGGTTTGGATAAACTTAGAGCTTAGCTGGACCTTCACCTGTCTCACAAATGAAACTTTTTCTGAGGCTCAAATACATTTATGCTTCTTGTTGTTCATTTCTTACTCACCTTCAGAACCAAAAGTATCAAAATATTTCAAGAAAGTCTGTTCTTGCAGTACTTCTAGCCTGCCTGGAATCAGGAAGTACTGTAATCTCTATTCATAAGGTCTCCAGACTATTTTAAAAAAGCCCAAATGGGAAGTATGTGGAGACGTAGTTCTAACCAGTCTCCCCCATACACCAATCAAAAGAGAGTGGGGTGACTACACTGCAACTTCAAAGAAGTGCAGCAGATTCTCAGCGCAACCTCAATGCTTCCCACTGGGGGTGCAGTGGTGCACCATCCCTTCTCTTAGGACTATAGTTCAATGCCATGATATAGCCCTAAAGAGTGATAAAGAAGGACAAACAGATGGGCTGCATATCTGAACCAGTATCCTGAGCTTTGCACATCACTAACATAGTCCCTTTTAAGTGTGCATTTGTCAATTTTTAGAATCCTTTTAAAGGGCGTTTCTGTGAATGACAATGCATATTATAAGGATTCTGTGGCCTCCTAATGTCCTCATACCAACTCCCTCAGAGCTCTACAGGCACAGTGGGGCTAGAACTCAGAACCCCCTCCCCACACTTGAACAAAAGGAGTATCTTTCTTAACATGACACATCGCTGGGTAGTTCTGATTCCATCCAGTTGAAGGCAATGCATATCAGCCAGTTCAACACAATATAAAGGGAAAGATTACCATTTATTAAGGCTAAAGTCATATTTCGTTATCATAATATGAAGTAATAATCTAGTACTGAAAAATCCCACCCACCCTGGGTAGCTGCCAGCAGTTTTATAGCAAATGACTCTTTGTGGTAAACTAGCATATTAGCTAAACAGTATTAAAATAATGGCCTTCTGACCCCAATCATATGTGAACCCTTCAAAACTGAGGTCAGTTTAAACAGGGCCAACACTGTGATTCTGAAAAAAAAAAAAACATAAATGAGGTGCATGTATGAGAGAGGGGAGCAAAAGGAAGATAATATTATAGAAGTGTTTGATTTCTTTAAACCTTTTGGCAAGAAGGATTCTTTGTGGTAAACAATTGTTTTACAAGAGCGGTAGTTCTCAAACTTTTGTACTGGTGACCCCTTTCACATAGCAAGCCTCTGAGTGCGATCCTCCTTATAAATTAAAAATACTTTTAAATATATTTAACACCATTATAAATGCTGGATGGAAAGCAGGACTTGGGGTGGAGGCTGACAGCTCGCGACCCCCCGTTTAGTAACCTCGCGACCCCCTGAGGGGTTCCGACACCCCGTTTGAGAACCCCTGCACAAGAGATTCCTTAGACATGAAAAATAAAGTCAGTGAAGGTGTAAAATATCACAAATCCACAAGCCCGATAAAGCTAGCTGAATATAATGTATGCCAATACATTCTGCAACACATTCTGTGTTAATACTACTGAATCTGAGAGGAATTAAAGCGTCCTTAATGAAAATGAATGTGTGGGGCTATGTGTGGAGGAAGCTGAACAGCTAGAAAAGCAGATACTGAGATAGTGGTTGACTCTGATAGTCAGGAATTGATTCCCCAGGAAAGGACCCTAAAAATAGAGCAGTGGTCAGCCTTTTAGAAATGTAATTGGCTTTTTAAGAAAGGAAAAATGCTAATTTCTATCAACAGTCCTGGGATTCCTCATATAGGGACGTTTAATGCTTCAAGGGCTTTGTGTAAATGCTAAAAAAAATGGTTGTGATGATAGGCTGAATCAGGGCCACGTACCAACAATTCCAAACTCTCCTGTAGCTGATTCAGTACAGTGATTTCCATAATATTTCATCAAATCTCAACACCTTGCTATTCTCATGATACCAGCATACCAAACTGTAGCTATTTTCTTAAAGTAAGTGTTAATATAGAAAAGCCTCATTATTGACACCCTGATTCTGGAAGCTGATCCATGTGGGTGGATCCTTTTTTCCCACTGGAAGTCCCACTGAAAATGAAGACTCATTGTGGGGGTCTGCCCAGGTAGATCAGCTTATAGGACTGAGTCCTTTTGATGCATTCAAATACAGACAATAGACTGGTCTACAGAGAAAATCTCACAACGTACTATAGCTTAAAAAATGTGTTAGAATTAAGCCATATTGGAAGAATGTGGCAGTTTATAGGATCATCAGTCATTATAATTAATAATCAGTTTTGAGTGCTAAGGATTTTTGTATAGCTTCTCTTTTTAATTAACTGTTAAAAACAACAAAGAAAATGTCTGATGTACATTAATTAAAATGTGATTGGGGAAGTAGCAAAGGAAAAGTTTGTATTTGAACTGACAAGACTTAGAAATCCCAAAAGAGAAGGAAGTATCTTTAACATCTAAAAGGAACTATTTGTCACTGATATGCCTTTCAACAAGACAGATGAAAATAGAAGGTTTAAATGAAATCAACTCAGAGAAAAGAGGAGTTGTTAAAACATTTTATACTTGGTTAAGGGACAGAAACGGCAAAGAATTATCAACAATTAAGTAGAACTGAGGGAGTCTAATTTGCGAATGTTAGGCTGGCAGACAAAAGAGCAATATGCACTGTATCCAGTTATGTAAGGTTCAGTGATAAATGCAGCTATTATCTATGCAATCTCCATACAGAAGATCATATTGAAACAATGAACAATATGTTCTCTAAAATAGCAAACAATTATTGTCCTACAGCTATTAAAATTTGCATCTTCAAACAAAGATCTTTGATAACACCACTCTAGAATTACTGATCATAATCTGAAGCCAGTGAAAGATTCTCCCTTATCATGGACCAAATTCTGGCTGCTTTTATATAAGTGTACCAAACAGAGTTAGAGCAGGATTGGGAGAGTGCAGGGGTATGTAATATGCTGATTTTGTGTGTGTTTGTGAGATGATATTGTTGCCAAGTGGCTCGCTCACAGAGAAGATATGGGGCCCAGGTACTACAGTTCATATTGTAGAAGCCTATTTTAGGAGGTGCTGGACAAATCTAGTTCTGATTCCACAGAGGTGAGTGTAATTTGCCTGGTGTCTGTTGCCTGCAGCATGTGGATTCATTATAAACCTGCTGCCCATTACATTTTTGCGCAAGAGACAGCCAGAATCC